GATGATGTGTTATAGAACGAGTAAAGAGACTTGCCGGTAACGAGATTGAACTAGGTATTGGATACCGACGATCAAATCTCGGGCAAGTAACATACCGATGACAAAGGGAACAACGTATGTTGTTATGCGGTTTGACCGATAAAGATCTTCGTAGAATATGTAGGAGCCAATATGGGCATCCAGGTCCCGCTATTGGTTATTGACCGAGAATGGTTCTAGGTCATTTCTACATAGTTCTCGAACCCGTAGGGTCCGCACGCTTAAACGTTACGATGCCAGTTTTATTATGAGTTTATAAGTTTTGATGTACCGAAGTTTGTTCGGAGTCCCGGATGTGATCACGGACATGACCCTCAAAATGGTCGAGACATAAAGATTGATATATTGGACGACTATATTCGGACACCGGAAGTGTTCCGGATGATTTTGGAGAAAACCGGAGTGCCGGGGGGGTTACCGGAACCCCCGGGAGAGTATTGGGCCTTATGGGCCTTAGGGGAAAGGAGAGAGGGGAGGCCAGCATGGGCCGCGCGCCCCCTCCACCCTCTGGTCCGAATTGGACTAGGAGGGGGGGCGGCGCCCCCCCTCTTTCCTTCCCCCTCTCCCCCTTCCTTCCTCCTCCTAGTAGGAGTAGGAAAGGAGGAGTCCTACTCCTACTAGGAGGAGGATTCCTCCTCCCTTGGCGCGCCCAAAGGGGCCGGCCGGCCTCCCCCCTCCCTCCTTTATATACGGGGGCAGGGGCACCCCAGAGACACACAAGTTGATCTACGGATCGTTCCTTAGCCGTGTGCGGTGCCCCCCTCCACCATATTCCACCTCGGTCATATCGTCGCGGAGTTTAGGCGAAGCCCTGCGCCGGTAGAACATCATCATCGTCACCACGCCGTCGTGCTGACGGAACTCATCCCCGAAGCTTTGCTGGATCGGAGCCCGCGGATCGTCATCGAGCTGAACGTGTGCTGAACTCAGAGGTGTCGTACGTTCAGTACTTGGATCGGTCGGATCGTGAAGACGTACGACTACATCAACCGCATTGTCATAACGCTTCCGCTTACGGTCTACGAGGGTACGTGGACATATACTCTCCCTTCTCGTTGCTATGCCATCAACATGATCTTGCGTGTGCATAGGAATTTTTTTGAAATTACTACGTTCTCCAACAGTGAGAGCCAAGCCATCATGTGTGTCAAGCGCTTCGCAATCGGAATTGTGCAAGTGTTTGGCCCGGAATACTTGAGAACTCCCAATGCTGAAGATGTCGCAAGGCTATTGGAGATGAACAAAGCTCGCGAGTTCCCAGGTATGCTAGGCTCAATAGATTGCATGCATTGGAGTTGGAAGAATTGTCCAAAGGCATGGCATGGACAATTCCACGGACAAAAAAATGGTTCCACTATAATCCTTGAAGCGGTGGCCGATCACGAGACTTGGATTTGGCATGCTTTTTTTGGAATGCCCGGATCTTTGAATGACATCAACATTGGCAACCGGTCACCACTGATGAGTAAGATTGCAAATGGTGAACTGTCACTGGTGCAGTTTGTAGCTAATGGTCGTACATACAACCATGGCTACTATCTTGTGGATGGCATCTACCCAAAGTGGCAAACATTTCTGAAACCGTTGAAAAAACCGGAAGGTAAGAAATATCTTGATTTCCAAGATGCTCACGTGGCGACTAGAAAAGATGTGGAGAGAGCTTTTGGGATTTTGCAAGCCCAATTTGCTATTGTGAGAGGACCGGCTTGATTTTGGGATCAGAAGATGCTTTGGTACATAATGCATGCTTGTGTGATCATGCACAACTTGATCATCGAGAATGAGCGTGGCCAAGATGTAGACTACTCTCAGTATGAGCTCTTGGGACATCCTGTGCGAGTGCGGCGGAGGGCTGAAAGGGTGGCCTGTTTTGTTGCCTCCTATCATGCCATTCGACGTCCGGCAGCACATAATAAACTCAAGAAGGATCTCATTGAGGAGTGGTGGGCTTGGAATGGCCGCCGAAGATCATCATGATTTGTGCGTTTGATATTGTATTGTTGAACTATTTGTTGTATTTCTCAAAGTACTATTTGTTTGATGAGTTGTAATAAATTGAACTATTCATTTAAACTTGGTTGTGAATGATGTTTGTGATTTAAAAATTATGCCATGTCTTTGTTTTGTGTGAAAATGCAACAAATGTGGATGCGCGGCTGCTTGCGCGTGCTGCATTTTGGCGCACCGCTGGAGCTACGCGCGTGCTGCATTTTTGGCGCGGCTGCTGGAGCAAGCGTTGCGCCCCGCGCCAAACCTGCCATTGCGCGCGCCGCAAACTAGATTTTTGCGCGCCATGCGTTGGGCGTCTGTTGGAGATGCTCCAAGGGCTTGCAGGGACCGCTGCCAGGGACAACCAGCGCTCCAAGCCCAAGGAGTTGTCTACGTTTGTTGTGGAGTGGGTGTTGTGAGGCAGCACTACCAGCGGTGACAAATTGCTACCGCAACCGCGGATCACATCAGTGTTGCAACCTGCATGATAAGACATTGGTGATGTTCGGTTGCCGCATGATGTGACTGCTGCAAAGATCAAGGCGGCTCTGTAAAGGTGGTGCAAGGGTCAGTGTCAGAGAAAGACCAGGGCAGCTCTGTAAAGGTGGTGCGAGGGTCAGCGTTAGAGGTGTCGTGGGTCTAGTGCTAGTGCTACAAGGGGTGTCACACCAATGCTTCACACATGTTGCAAAGGGAAGTCATTGCGTGCAATGCTGCAACGCAACATAAAGTGGTTGTTGTGTGCTATAAGAGAAGCCGTGTGTGAGAGACGACGATTAGGGATCCAACAACTGTGTACCTCGCTGGATCCAAAGGCTGTGTATCTCGCAACGTACAACCACATTGATCCGTGCATGGAATCGGTCAGCTGACACTAATGCAGCCCTATTTCTTTAGGGGATAATGCACCCCTATTTTGTAATGGTCTAGGTGACAAAAGCCTCTCACCTAAACTTTTCACTTAAACCATCACTACTGTTGGAATACCTAGTAGTGGCGCGCAGAAAAAGACCATCTGTGGCGGGCGAGACTCCTAAAGGCGCCCGCCACTGACCTCCCGCCGTTGCTAATATAGCATCAGTGGCAGGCCGAGAGTAGTGCCAGCCAATGATATAATCATCATCACAAGAACCGGTTTTTGTTCCCGTGAATTTATTGTGCCATAGTTTGTACACATGATTTATAAAGAGTAAATTGGTATAATTATAAAATTCATAGCAATAACTAAACCAGGCTGTATCCATTTTAGGAATAAACGACAAAGCTCCATATTTGTTCCACTTAACAAACTAATATCAATGTATCACATCCATCTTAACAAACTCATTAACACGTCATCAGCTTACGTAATGTTCATACCTTCGACCTTATTTCCAAATGAGATCAACGACAACCATCATCTGCCAGTTGTTGTGGTGGCTCTTCCTTAGCGTGATTACACTGGTGTGTCAACCCTTACTCTCTTCCGCTTGCAGGCTTGACTTCAGAAATAAATTTAATATGGTCATGCTTAGGCTAAGCCTAGCCTCAAAGAAGGCATGATGTCCTGGATTGACAATGTATGAATAATTTGCTAACCCATGTAACATACACATTATAACCTATCATTGTACATTCCAGTTGCTAATTATAAATGAAATGACTCGCAGTAGGGTTTTTCCTTACTGTTTTTGGTCAAAATAATAATAATAATAATAATGATAATCATCATCATGATATCTCTATTAGACACTCGTATGGTTAGTTTTTGTACGAGATTAACATTTTTGGGAATTAGTATGAGATTAGTATTGTTAGCACTGTTGGCATGGCATTAATATTAAATAAATTAATACAACGACTGCTAACTATATCAACGCGAGTTTGCATATAAAATATGACATCATATTTCTAAACTACAAATCTGACGTCAGACTATAAACATTACCGTAAAAAATTGGTAGCCCGATCTCAATGGTAACCCAGCAACAAAGCTAGCTTTCGGCACGTAAAATAGGTGCGCCGGAGTATTATCTTGGTTGAAGTTTATGTTTCTACGTCATTAGTCCAGATTTATTAGTCTCCTCATATTTTGTAATAAATTTCAACATTTTATCTAAGTAGCAAACTATAAGTTATATACCATAAAGTAATATCATTAAAACTTTTTTTAATATAAATTCAATACTATAATTTTTGTGACTAATAAAAACATGTATTTTTTAATCAAATTTATAGTCAAAATTTGACAAAATAAGTATAAAGGATAGAGTAACCTAAGACGGTGGACGTGCATCGGTGAATTGTTTGAAGACGGCCGAGAGTGGCGTTTTGGCTCCCAGGAGCACATGCTCCCGCGTGAACAGTAACACACAAAAAATAGTAAATGCTTTTCGAAAATTCTGATTTTTTTGGATGTGCGTGTTAGTGTCGCAAGCATGCTTGATAATTTTCATGTGAAACGGAGCAGTAGCGTTTCGTCGGTGAAAAAAATAAATTTAAGGTGACATTTGGGGGTAACTTTTGGTGTTTAATTTGTTTTTTATTTTTTGCACGAGCCAAAATGCTTAACTTTTTTGCTTTAAAATTTGCAGGTGGCATTTGAATGTGACCAAGAACTCATAATGCTGCCGGGAGCCGAATTGAATTTGGGAAATACAACCATTGTTACTTGTGACAACCATTGTTACCCTCCCCCAAAAAACATTGTTTTCACCGAAAGCTTACACTTTGGATACCATCCATGTGACTGTATACTACAGAGAATTGGCAAGTCACGAGCCAGGACGAAGCTGAGCGGCAATGCTACACGTACAAACGATTTACAAGCTTTTACAGGATGGTTAATTTTGATTGGTCAATAGGTGAGCGGGCCGGCTCATCCCCCTAAAAATCAAGGGGGAAGAGGTTTGTGATTGGTTGTTAGATGGAAGAAGCGTGTAAAAGCGTGTAAGTCTTTATATGTCTAGCATTTTTGCGAAGCTGAGTGCCCAATGGGCATTTCATTTCTTTTCATGAAAAAAAGCAGATGCTTTGGGAACCATCCACGACGAAGCCACCCTGACTGCCCAATAAGATACTCCTATATGAGTATACGTTCTGAGAAATTAATTAAGGAGACCTACCCAAAGTCAAGAGAAGACTCCTCACTCCAGTCCAGCAGCGGTCAGTCGCCCACTCCACTCCACTCACATTGAAGGAATCTTGTTCTCGGGAAAAGGAGGAAAGGTTGCGTGAGCCAGCCATGGCCTTCGCTGACGCAGCAGCACGGAGGCTCCTGCGCGGCGCAGGCGGCGGTGTGGCCAATGGAATCGCCGCCGACGCCGTCGGCATGAGCTTCGGCCTCGACGGCTTATGGCAGCTCATCGCGGGCCTGTTCGCGAGCGTGGCTCACCTGCTCGTTCTACCGTTCGAGGTGCTCGGGCACTGGCTGCAGGTGGCCATCGCCGCCGTGGCCCACCTGGTCGCCCTGCCGTTCGAGGCACTCTGGCACTTGCTGCGGTCCGCTGCAGCCGGCGTCGGCTTCTGCTTCGACAGCCTCGTCGCCGCTCTCGGGAGCGCGGCCCGCGCCCTGGCGGTGCCGTTCGAGGCGCTCTGGCACCTGCTGCAGTCTGCCGCCGCCGGCGTCAGCTTATGCTTTGTAAGACAATGATTTGGGG